CCTAACCCTAAAGTTAATTCAAAAATATTAATTATATAATTTATCTCCGCTTTAGACGTCCCCCTTTTTTGGTTTGTGTTACCGGCACAAATAAGTAAAATCCTTGCTTAAATCTCTAACCTCTGAACAACCCTAACCCTAATTTTAATTGCTTCGTAGCCCAGGTCCATCACAAGATCTTCCGTTATGCATGACCAATCAAAATCTCTGTTTACACTGATCAGCCCGACGAAGCAAAAAAAGTAAAAAATTGCGAAAATACAAGAAACCAATGTCTAAACCTATCTTGGCACATTAAGAAAAAAATGTCGAGGGACGATTTTACATATAGAAACCTTTTAACATTGGCCCATACAGGCCCTAAACTGACCCTAACCTTAACGTTAATTTAAATTGGCTTCAAGCGTCCCCCAAATAAGGAAATTGAAAAATGGGTCGGTAAATTGGGTAAATTGGTCTACCCTTGCAAATCCGGACCTCCGATCAAAATTTGAATATAATTCGATATTACTGTATTACAGATCCTATATGTAAAATTTTATTCACTTAGAGCCCAAAAGCAGGTTATCATAGTAAAATTTTGTGTTAGCTACGGCTTGTTGGTTGTTTCTTCATTATTTTATTGGTTCCGACCTATACGAAAGGGTCCGGATTTGCAGGACATAAGTATACCCAACATTTTGTGAATTAAATGACATAGCTAAACCACCAGCGTTAAGATAACTGGCCTGAATTATGGATCAATTTCTATTCCGTTGAACGGCATTAAATGCATAACGATAATCCAAATTAGTTGAAATATTAAAGAGCAATCTTTTCGAACTCATGGTTTCACGCTATATTCTTGAAGGTACATCTTTTTAGCTATAGAAAGAACTACTACCGCTACTCGGTGTCGTAAATGACTTTTCAAATATAGTGTCTGGATCCGCTATCCCGTTGGATAATGGTAAATCATTCCGATATCCGTTAAATTTAATATGAAATGCCATGCTCTGTTCGAATGACTTTATATATATATCTATGAATTATTGTAATTTACGTTAATATAATTTTTTTTTACTATAAAAATACTCATTTCCAACTTTTTTCATCTTGCCATTTTTTTTTCTCATTAGAGTTTTCTTGGCTGTTACGCTGGTCGAAATTTATTTATTTTACACATAACCAATCCTACTTTTTTTTATATAAATGATGCGTTCAATCCTCTACGTTTTTATTATCTCTTTCCTCGTAGCCGTTGTTTCTTCGTTCTCCCATGGCTCTGGTACATGTAACTCAGTTCAAGAGGCTATCGAAGGTGTACAAAATTCGCCCATGGGTAAACTCAATAGTGCGCTTACTTATGATTTCAATCTTGATTTAAAGAAAGGTTATTACGTTCCTGGAGGTTCTGCTGTTCTTACTGTTAAAGGTACTCAACCTTACAAGGGTTTCTTGTTATATGCTGTGGACAGTGCTAAAAACCATGTTGGTTCGTGGAGTACTCCAAAAGGTTACAAAATATTGGATCTAAATTGTACTGGTGATCCGAAAGGAACTATTTCACATGATTGTATGTATGCGTAATGTTTTTTTTTTTTCTCGTTAACTTCTTTTTTACTTATAAAACTTTCAAACTTTACAGCTCCCGATCAAAAAGATCCTGTTGCTGCTAAATTCACTTGGACAGCACCAACTACAGATGTCGGTCCAATTACTTTTGTTGGTACTATTGTGGTTAATCAATCAATGGGCTTCCAAATTGTAAAATCTCCGAGTTTCTCTGTTGCCGGAAGCAATGTTACTGTGCCAGTTACGCCATCAGGTACTATGAATCCTCAACCTTCTGCCTCTGCACCTTACGGAAATCCTGACAATTCAACTTCACCCACCAATTCAACTTCATCTACCCCTTCCGATGCCTCTTCTTTAGTGGGTGGTTCTTTGTTGTTGGCAACATTAAGCTTTGTTGCCACTTTGGTGGTCTCATATCTCTAAATATTTTATGAAACTAATCTCACGTACGGCACCCAAAGTGCTATAACTTATAATTTTATATTTAATGTTTTAATGTTTTAGTGTTTAATGTGTTATTCGATTAGAAAAATAAAATTACAAATTAGAAAATTTAATATAATAGTATACCAAATAATTAATTCTAAATAAATTTAAACTTAATTTGTTGATTAAATAAAAATACTAATGATTCAATAAAAATACTAAGACATTAAATATTAAAAAATTCAAATACTAAAATATAAAATAATAAACATTTCTAAAATACTGTATTAAAGGTAATTGTTATCTTACACTATGTAGACGTATATACAGTCAGACCTTCCTAAACACACTCATCTTAAGTGCACACCTTTCGCAAATACACACCCTCCCTAAATATACACTTTAACTTAGTCCCGAGCTTGGACCTAGTGTTAAGTGTACACCCTCCGCCCTCTACACGCACACAAGATTTTATGATCGGATTGCATGATCGAAAAAATGCTACCCGGTTATCTGACGGGTATACCCGGCGGGTGGATTTACTTATTTGTGCCGGTAATACAAACCAAAAAAGGGGGACGTCTAAAGCGGAGATAAATTATATAATTAATATTTTTGAATTAACTTTAGGGTTAGGGTCATTTTAGGCTAGGGGTTAGGCTAAGTTTTAGGTAAGTATATATATGTAAAATTGCCTTCCCGACATTTTTGCTTAACCTACCCAAGGCAGGTTTTGACTGCCGTTTTTTGTATTTTTTAGGTTTTTTGTTTTTCTTTCTTGTATTGCTTCGCCGGCGATCATCAAATTTAGGGTTAGGAAGTTACCGTTAGAAGCTATAGCCATAGACTATTGCTCATTACATGTAAAATTTCGTTCCCGACATTTTTAATTAGTGAATCTAGGTCGATTTAAACACTAGTTTTTGGGTATTTTCGCTTTTTTCTTCTTTCGCACGTGTTCGGAATTCATGTCGGGCTGATCCGGAACGATCAAAATTCGAACTCACTGATTGGTTATTTCCTTTTTAGGAGTTTGTATTACCGGCACAAATAAGTAAAGCCCCCGGCGGGTTACCCGGGTGATCAACAGATATATCCGGGTATAAAATCCTTAATTAAATACTTTTACTTTACTAGATAGCTGCGCGACGTTATTACGCAAAACCAGGAACAGAAAACCTAAACCAAGAAAACAGCTAGATAAAATGTAAGAATTTGTGCCTAACCGATTACTTTATCCTTCATTTAAATCAATCAATGTGTTTATTTATGCTGATTTTTGTCGATATGCGATATATCCGTCAACTAAAAAAGAAATTAATATTTAATCAAAATATAAAGACCTACAAAAATTACTCGAGTCGAAACCTGACTTGTTGAATCTACAAATC